AAATATGTCCCTTTGTCCCCACCCTCGGCCACCAGACGTCACTTAGGACCACGGCGCTCCAGCGGAATGACGTGTACTCCGAGGTCAACACTCTTTCCATCTATTCTTCGTTCCTTCGTGTACATAATAAACTATTCCTACCATTCTGGCCTCTACCGATTTCTTCTCCACTAAGCTACCATGATCTGAAGATCGCAGTTGCTAGGGTTTAACTTACTTTACCGCTGTGATATTTCGCTTTATCGCATTTGTTCTTTTCGCATGCTCTCTCCTATATTTTCAGTTCAGTAAAACAAGTACAAACCACTTTACTTAATTTCCTTCGGCGCACTGATCACTCATTATACACGTATTACCAGCTGTTTGCTCAAGCATTAATCCTTTACCCATGGATTCCGTCACATACTTCGGCCGGGAGACTTTTTTCCATTGGGCGCCCCTACGATGTTTTTTAGCCATCTGAAAGTCTAGCAAAATAGAAATCCCTATTTAGATGTGGAATAAGACAATGTAAATTAGATATATTCTGGTCATTTCTGATCATCTCTTGGTCGCTCGACCCAGCGCGATGGACGATGTCCGCATGTGATGCGCAATCTTTGTCCTCGCGCGAATGAGGCGCACACACGTACCCCAGACTGGTCGGGCCAATCAACATCCTGAAGCTGATTCACACAACGCTCGCTCTGGACCTTGTAACTATTCCCGGACTTAGGACCTGACTAGCCTCCTAGCTGGTCGTGCGCTGCGAAGTCTTACTTCTTCTTGATTATTCTTCGTTCCTCTGTGTACACAACAAACTATTCCTACTATTCTGCACTCCACCGACTTCTTCTCTACTAAGGAACCATAGTCTGAAGATTGCAGTTGCTAGGGTTTAACTTACGTTATTGGTGACTTTCCGATGTGCTCTGAACTCTAAACGTCTGAGGTGGCCTGCTCTCCCCGCAGTAGTGGTGACTGTCCAACGTGTCCCTGTAAAGCAAGCAAAACAGAGAACCTAACATGATTCCTTGAATGGCATCACTTACAATTGTGGTAGCACTTGGGTATGAGGACCCCACTAAGACCTTTAGTTTTCAATTAGATATGCACTATCTACTGAAGTCAGTAAGGGTACTACGGAATCCTATAGCCTCCATTTTAGCTAGAAATGGCCTATGAGCACTTATGACAAATTTGGAAAGTTAACAGACTCTACCAATTCCTGAAATTTTGGCGGAGAGTTGTTTGTGTGCCAATCAATGTCTAGCAGATTAAACTTACCTACGATTATTCTGACATCAAAATGAGTCTCTGTACCCTTTTCCATACACTTCGCAGAGCTCGTTTTCCTTGCCAGAAAAACAGACACAGTCAACTGCCGTATTTTGATTGTGCGGGAGGATGACTGAAAAAAAACATTTCCAGAAAACGACGAACTGCGCAGACGCGAGGGAAATGTACAAAAGGTGACTGAATATGAAGAAGGCAACCATCACCACTATTTTCAGGGCGGTCTTGTCGGTACAACATCCAAAGATATCTGGTGAGCGTCGAGACGGAAATAAGGTAGTGAGCCCAAGTTTCAATGATACGCAACACATCTGGATCAAACTCAAAAGCTACAGTTCTAAGTTCTGTCATCTTATTTACAAATGATCCCACATTGAGCGAAACCATAGTGAGTGTATTCCTGAGACGCATGTTACACTCATCACTATTTATAGAAGGGGAAGATTTGCTGGCGGAGGAGAAAATTAGAAGGAAGAAAATAGGCGAAAAACAAAATTGCTGTGGTCTGAAATTGGTCTAGATTTTATTGTTAATCGAATTAGGATTATTGCATAACGACATATTTGGATGAAATCCACGAAAAAGAAGCCTGTATTGTAGGGTGGGAAAAGATGGTGGCCTAAAAATATAACTTTGAATGAAGTTAGTAGAATTTGGCAGAAAACGTACATTTGACAACGTAATACACGATTTCGAAAAAAATATTAAAACAATAAGTATACTTAACTATTTGGGGATGGAGGACCGTTTTCGGTTGGCAAACGTGCTAACGCGAGTGGTTGTATCTGTTGTAGATGCTGAGGTGTTAG